AATTCCATAAAATATTTAATAGCATCTTGTGGACTAATTTTATTCCATGGCGGCACTAAGATGCAGAAAATATGATGGTTATAAACAAGATCCCTGAAACCAGACTACTCTAAGTTACTTACTAACTGGTTGACTATGGACGAGTTATTTAACTTCTCTATGCTTCAGTTTTCTCATCTGTATAATGGAGATAGTATTTCATGAAGTGGGATCATTGAGCCATGTTAGTATTAGCTGTTATTGTAGAATCTTCTGAGAATGCAGATCTTGAAGCATCAATATAAAATTTATGGTACTGTTAATTGGCCTTATTATTGTTTGGAGAATCAATTCCATGTGAAATTTGAAAAAAAACAACAACAACAACAAAAAAAAAAACCTCAGCTACTACACTCCCACATAATATACCGTAGAGTTGCTCAGCGAGAAGAAATTGTTCTATTGAAAAAGAATGCCTGCAATTCCATAGCATCTGCCCTTGAGTCTTTTATAGTAAAAGTACTATTTTTTCTCTCCCCACAGCATCTTTATCTCTATGATAGTTCCTACTTTTGACAGTCATACGTACTGATACTCTAGCTATAGTTTCCCTGCAGGATGACTGCTTTGTCTTTTTGAAAGACACCCTCAAGTGAATTGTGCATATGTTATTTAGCTTTTCTTCCAAACATCCCTCTAAGAATGTTGGAAATCCATCTAATTGTGTTGTCACACAGTAATAGGCAAAAAGGAAATTAACTTTTTTTTTTTTTCCTTACTGGGGATAAAACCCAGGGCCTCATGCATGGTAGGCAAGCACTCTATCATTGAGCTATGTCCCCAGCTTTGAAATTATTCTTATTAATTTCATTCTAAGAGCACACCCATAAATATTCTGTTTTTAAAGCTCAATTTCAAGTACACAGTAAAGAGAAATTTTAAGATATACCCTTTCTTTTGACTCAAATATCACCCTCTATCATTTTTAAGTGTGTTACTCAAAATAGATGCTTTTTAAAATTTATATCCTTGTGTGATACTGTTAGAATTTTGTATTATGGCATCGTTTTTGATGATCAGGAGAGTTAATGACCTACAAAAGCTATCAATGCCCAAAGGCAGCTGAATGACATACAAGTCATGTCATCTTTCCAAACAGTTTAGCCCATTTCAGCAGTTACTGACCACAGGACAGAATCCACATGTGAAAAGTTTAAACAGAGCCATTTAGGTAAGGAATTGAAGAATAAAATAAAATGAATTTCTCTCTCCTAATCTGACTAGTATTTACTGTGCACATTTAACTTTAAAAATGAGGATCAACTACTCATTTTGTTTTTCACTTATTTGAAGTATGTAGTGGGTAAAGGATTGTTCAACTGGGCCTATGAACTACCTGAAAAGAGGAATCAAAAGATGCTACATACTAGCTGGCATGGTGGTGCACGCCTGTAATCCCAGCAGCCCAGAAGTCTGAGGCAGGAGGATCACGAGTTCAAAGCCAGCCTCAGCAACAGTGAGGTACTAAACAATTCAGTGAGACCCTGTCTCCAAATAAAATACAAAATAGGGCTGGAGATGTGGCTTAGTGGTTGAGTGCCCTTGGTTCAATCCCTGAGACCCCACCCTCACCCCCAACACCACACACAAAGATGCTACATACTTACACAAATTCATTCAGCCCAGATTCTGAGATTCTGGTTCTCAGTGCAAAGGCTCAGAAATTTGATTTGGTTGGCACACAATGAACAGGTGAGACATGGACTCAAACTAAACCAAGCATAGAGTTCCCTGTAGGCAGGACCAGAATATTCATTCCTGGAGTGAGAACTCTATGGAAAACCAACTTCTGGAAGGAAATGAAGTTTGAGCAAGAGGATTTCATTGTATGATTTGAGTGATTAATAGTATGAAGATTTGTCAGACAGTGATTTGTTTCATCACCCAACATAGAACATGTGTTATAGAGTACAAACAAGTTGTTTCCCTTTAGAGACCTGGAAATTTCTTCCCTGGTTGCAGTCCATATGTACACCATTAGCATCTAGCTCCTTAGATCTTCTTTAACTAGGTCCAAGCTCACTGTCTCTTCTCCCCCATCCTGTGTTTCTTTTAAAGGACTGTATTATCATCAAATAGATTCCATCTTACTGAATTACAATCACAGTCCAACCCTGCCTTCTGGAGGAAACATCCTGATTTCTTGATAAAGTTTTGGCTATTTCTGATCTTGGCCACTCATTTACAAACCCATTAGCCTATTCATACAAATACATTCAGTGCTTAACTAATTGAACTCTCAGAGGACAATTTTATTTCTTATATTCTTTCCATCCTCTGTGTCATCTGTATGTGCTCCCCTTCCTCTATTCCCCTCACAGGGCAGACCTTTGGATTTTTAGAACAGAGACTAGGTTTTACAGCCAAAGGCAGGGATAACAATTAGCATCATTCAAACATTTTTTATAGCTCTCCTCTCCTTGAATAATTGCTAAATATGATTCTGTAGAGTACTCATGTAGGACCTTCTAAATCTGATATTTCAGACATAAAATATTTCTTAAGTAAATCCAGCTGTAATGATAATATATTCATTGACTGAGTTTCCAATTATTTTTTCCATGTCAGCATAAAATCAAAGAGACACACAAAGAATGGAAAGAGTCAATCATGTTCTTTATGTGAGGAGACAGCAGTTGACAGTGATGCACAATCCAAACCATTAAATTTTCTGAAGTGCCCCTGTTGCTCTTAACCTTGCTTCTTCCTGTTTGTTTCAATCTTGGGGCCCTCTGATCCCTGATGCCTCTAAGGCTTTAGATATGGAAGAAAGATTTAGAGTAAATGCAGACAGTCTGCAATGACTTGGGCAATTTCCTCCGAGGTGGCTACCTCTTGGTCTGTAGGAAACAGTTCAATTTTGAGTCATTTCAACAACATTTTGGTTTGGTGCTTACTGTATACAAAAAACAGGGGATTGGAAAGTTGGGAAGGCTCTGGACTCGAACCTGTCCTTTCAGTTGTTCTGAGATTTTGAGGTCATCCTGATCTTATGGCTATTGCAAGGCCCCAGAGCAGTCTTTGAGTGGCTATCTGGCTATGTCTGCAAGTCTGGCAAGAGCCAAGCAAACCATGTATAACTCGCATGTAGAATGTAGTTCATAGACCTGAGGAGAGACTAAGGGATAGTATGTTGGGATGATGTTCAATCACAAAATCCAACAGATCACCCTAGGAGTCATCATCTTTGAGGAACTGTACAGAGGGAATCCAAATCAATAAAATGTGCTCAAAAGTTAGTGATGAGAGACAGGGCCTGGTAAGCTTCTTATGTTCACAAGGGGGTAGTTTTAAAACATCTATTTTGTAGTTCAGTAGTTGCCCCCATATAGCATCCCAAGACTTCCATAATGGATGCCTGAAACTGAGGATAGTAATGAACCATATATACACTAAGTTTTTTTCCTGTCTACCACATAGTACCATAGTTAATTTGTCCTTCTATGTTTTATGACCTATGTCTTATGCCTTCTTAAAACATATGTTTTAAGCCTCATTTGTCTCACTATTTTTGCACTCTGAGGCCATTATCAATAATCATTACTTGAACATAAACACTGCAATATGGATTAACAAGATGGCTATTAAGTGAGTAATGGGCAGGTAGTATATACAGTATGGATACCCTGAACAAAGGGAGAAGCCACATCCTGAGCAGGACAGAATGGGATGGCACAAAATGTCATCACTCTACTCAAAATGGCACACGATTTAAAACTTCAGAATTGCTTGCTTTTGGAATTTTTTATATTTTCAGACTGAAGTTGACTTCAGGTAATTGAAACTGCAAATGAGCGGGGATATATATATATTTACATATATATATATATATATATATACACACTACATATTTGTGATAATTCACAAACAACTGCATAAATCATGAGAAATAAAGCCCTTCTTATGAGTAAAACATTACCCAGTATAGGGGAAGGCCCTGTGTTCTCCTCTGTGATTATATGAAAGTAATCAGGATCTTGAATTTCCCCTGAATTTACCTATATTTATACTACTAATGTATGTAGTTCTAAATTAAATAAAATAAAAGATACAAGATATAGCCTTCATATTGCAGTCATTCTGCATGAATTCTTCTGTAAATGAAGCATTTTCATTCATTGTTTGTGAGATATATTTAGATTGATACATAGTATGTATTTATACTTGTTTCACCAGTTGTGCTTTTTATGCCTATGGCCCTAGTTTGGTGGGGGGAGAGAAGGAGGGAGCTGCTTAAAGGGTCCTGACCTGTCGTGGACCATCCAGTATGTGCATTTAGTGTCCCAAAGTGGTGACCCAATCCAGCTTCAAGAATGATGATAGGATCTGGCTGTCAGAGGAAGCCAATTATAATAGAAGAAACTGAATTTGCATGGAGGGCCTGGAATCAACTCAATGCCATTTTGTGGTTTAAAAAACAAAACATGAAATAAGTATTTAATAAATGCATGTTTGCTGATTTTAAAAATGTTGTTTGTGTTAGGTACATTGGTATTTCAAAAATTATGTCGTTTTACAAGTGCTGTGGGGAAAACTGCCTAATTAATTTTTCTCTTTTGTTTCTTCCACCTTTTCAGTATTTTAATCATTCTGTCCCAGGGGATCTGAATCCTGCTTTGCAGCTTTCTGAAGAACCCAAGTTGAGCATCATTAGTGAAATTCAGCCGCTGTCTGACTACACATCACAGTAAAGCTTTGGAAATTTTTTTCTTTTTTTTTTTAGTTAAAACAATAATGACTTTCTTGGAACACAATTCCAGTAGAGTCTGTTTTCTGTGTATCCTGGAAGACTATCTAGCCACCATCAGCAATTCTGCAGAGACTTTATAAAAACTACTTTCACCAAACTTGAACTGAGTGACTCTGAGTTGGCCAAGGGGAACCTCAGCAATCGTCCACATCATTTCACCCTCTGGAAGATTCAACCAGTGAGTCCTACTCACAGCTGCCCCTGAAATATCATGTCTAAGAATTCGGAATTGATCAATCTGTCATTCTTATTAGATCATGAGAAGGAAATGATCCTGGGAGTCCTAAAGAGAGATGAATATTTGAAAAAAGTAGAGGACAAGAGAATAAGGTAAGATCCTTTTATCATTTCCTCCCTCCTTGACTGTTTCCTGTTTGAAGCAATTTAAATCAGAAATAGGGTAAGTGTGACCGCATTGGAAACAGATGTTTGTCAGGGACGTTATGGGTTCCCAATAGTGGACCAAATATTAGAAAACATCTTCGGTATTTCAGCAATTAGTAAAATAGGAACATGAACTCCATTGAATCATATGGTGTTAGTGAGAGCGCTCATTTGCTAACAACATCATAACTAATACCTAAGAAGAACGATACTCAAGTTCGTTTAACAACCCTGGTATGTATTTGTTGTGTGACTTTGAGCAAGTTATTTGCTATGATTTGGATCTTGACTATTCCTCAAAGGCCTATATGTTAATGTCATGGTCCCCAGCTTGGTGCTCATGAGAGGTGTTAGAAACTATAAGAAATGGGGCCTATCTTCAATAGATGAATGGATAAAGAAACTGTGGTGTATATACACGATGGAATATTACTCTGCCCTAAAGAAGAATGAAATTATGGTATTCGCAGGTAAATGGATGGAGTTGGAGAATGTAATGCTAAGTAAAGTAAGCTAATCCCAAAAAACCAAAGGCCGAATGTTTTCTCTGATATGAGGATGCTGACACATAATGAGGATGGGGGGGGAAGCATGGGAGGAATGGAGGAACTTTAGATAGGGCAAAGGGGAGGGAGGGGAAAGGAAGGGGACATGGGGGTAGGAAAAATGGTGGAATGAGATGGACATCATTACCCCAAGTACATGTATGAAGACACAAATGGTATGAATCTACTTTGTGTACAACCAGAGACATGAAAATTTGTGCTGTATATGTGTACTATGAATTGAAATGCATTCTGATGTCATGTATAACAAATTAGAATAAATAAATAAATTTTAAAAAATTTTTAAAAAGAGAGAGATGCGGCCTAGTGGGAGGACTTATGTCACTGGGGTTGTCCCCAAAAGGGTTTTTGGGACTCTATTTTTTTTTTTTTTTTTTTTTTTTTTTTGCTTTCTGGTCACCATGAGGTAAATAGGCATCCTCTGCCACATGCACCCACTATGTGTATTGCCTTGTCAAAGCCCAAAAGCAACTGGAACAAGCCACCATGGGTGGAAACCATGAGCCAAAATAAACATTTTCTGTTTTTAAGTTGATTATTTCAGATATTTTGTCATAGTAACAGAAAGCTGAAAACACATTACTCAATTTCTTCATGCCTTGCTTTCTCATCAGTAAAACAAAGATAATAAGTCAAGCGTGGTGGCGCATACCTGTAATTCCAGCAGCTCGGGAGGCTGAGATAGGAAGATCATGAGTTTAAAGCCAGCCTCAGCAATGGCGAGGCCCTAAGCAACTCAGTGAGACCCTGTTTCTAAATAAAATACAAAATAGGGCTGGGGATGTGGGTCAGTGCCTCTGGGTTCAATCCCTGGTACCAAAAAAAGAATAGTACCTCACAGGATTGTTGAAGAAAGGTAATTATCAAGAAAGATGATACACATGCAATGCTTGGTACCTGAGTATTCAATAAACATGAGTTATTATTTATTTGTAATGCCTTTCTCAGGTCAGTCTTATTGGAACTTTGCCTTTACCCACACCTGGGAGAAGAAGAAAGGGATCTGGATAGTGAAAAGTTCCCATGGTAACTCCCGAGTCAGTTGAATTTATTGACATAAGTTTCTATGTGAATGGAGTTGAGCAATATGAATACAGTTGGGTTTCACATACATTTTAGGCAGGGCTGATATTTAGTTGGTTTCCCAGGTATGACCTCACCTGTGTGTCAGCCAGCATCCACTCTGATTGGTTGCATCATCTGCTCTGAATTGTCATATCATCATTATGATTAGTTGCAATACCCATTGTCATTGGTTGCTGCCTGTACTGGTTATTACACCTCACCCCAGAAGAGAGGTTATACATAAAAATCAATATAAAGAAATTCCCTCTTCAATAACTGCCAACTGTGCATGGTGTACTTTTTTGGTCTTTTGTGGCTCCCCAAATAATAATCTGAGTCTTATATTTATTATTTTATTTTCTGGTGCTGAGGATTGAATCCAGAGCCTTGTGCATGATAAGCATGATAAACATAAACTCTGTCACTGAGCTGCACCCCCAGCTCATGAAACTTATTTTACTTGAGGATAAAACTTGTCATAAAATTATCTTCACATGTTACAAAAATATTCACTATTCCTGAAGCAAGTAGGATCCTTAGAATTGGAACTACATCAAAATATTCTTGACTTGATATTTATTTCATAGTTAAAAGTACAGAGACTTTATTTCTACTTTTCCAAGATATTCAACCAATCTTATAGAAACCAAAGGTTTTGATTAAAATTATTGTCCTTTTTCGAGGCCTAGAATTCAAGTGCAGTTAATTATTGTAAAGAAATCAGGAATTGTATTTTTGGCATTAGTGTAGTCTAGTTGCAAAAGTGAATAAATTGTGTAATGCACTGCAGAAAGTGACATTGTTTATGGGAGATGATGTATTAACTTATTGGTGACATTCTCAGGGAAATTAAAAATCATTCCCTAGGAAGAAATAATTTAATACCAGATCCCAGGAAGCATTGAAATATAAAAAATAGGATTTTATTCAGAATATTTGTTACTGTCATTCTCAATAACTTTTTGAAATAATCTATTATACTCCCTCTTCTCTTTTCCCATTTTATTTTTTCCTTGTCTTCTTACCAACTATAAATGAATAAAGCCAATTGTGTAATTTACAACAGAGCTGTCAAGAATACCATCACTAATTTCCTGGATTTTTCAAACTTTTGAGAGTAGCAGAAAAAAAGGCTTCTATAGATCCAAGAGACACTTTTATAGAAAATAGGTGTTTTAAAGCTATGTTTTTTCCCCTTCTTTAATAATAACAGTGGCTAATATTTATTGAGTGTCCTGTATAACTGCATTAGATATGTTGTCTCATTTTGGTCTGAGCTCTCAAGACAGGAGCTTAGGCTGGGTGACTCAGACTCAGCCACCCTTAATGGCCTCATGTATTGAGAAGTCATCCCAAAGTGGGTGGCAAGATGTTTAGAGTACATGCTGTTGAATCACACATCCAGAATTCAAATCTTAGATGCATCATGAAATCTTTCGATTACTTTAGACAAGAAGCTTCCATAGATAAATCTATTTCCCCATCTGACAAAATAGAAATAATAATAGTAGTTACCTTATACGGTTGGCTTTAGGATTAAATCAGTTGTCTTTAGGTGACTGGTGTTTCCCATAGAGCTACAAGTGACAGGCAACTCTCCCCTGCGTCCCCTTCTCCCTTACAGATTTCTCTGAGAGTACTTCAGAAGTCACTTGTACACAAGTGTACATCTCAGAATTATTTCTGGAAGATCCAGCCCAAAAGACTGTAAAGCTTCTATTACTAAAGATATTGCTATTTAACAAAGTTAGTTTTAAGGGAAATATACATATAATAAGTCTGGGGGGTAACATTAAAAGTGAGGATTTTTGGTTTATTTGATTTACAAATTAAGATGTTCCCAGCAATTTTTATCATAGTCATTAGGGTTTAGATACTGGCAAAACAAGAAATGAGGCACTACATTTAAGCACCTTGGTCAGACTTTACTTTCTGTTTTTTTTTTTTTTTTTTTTTTTTTTTTTTTTTTTTTTT